CATCGCCACGAATTCTGTAAAATTACATGTTTCAAAGTAAGTACGCCATGCATATGGACAGAAAAGAGAGCGCGAACGGCGAACAACACCCGGCGAGGTACTGATTCCATCCTTTTGGAGAAGAGGACTTAGCTATGTTGATTTTATGGGGACAAATAGTTGCAATCTTACCAGCCACTAAGACGTTCAGGAAAAATATCAGCACGACATGCAATGCAGCAAATCTCTACGTACGGTTGGCCACCAGACGGTGCTAGAACAACGTAGTCTTGAGTGTCATCTTGGCGCACCTCGGAAATAGGACTGCCAGTCAACGCATTGATATTGCCCACAGATACCTTCACGGCGTAACGGTCTGTCCCAGAGTTGCGGAAACTCATCCACATTGCCTCTCGTTGATACATAGACTATCAACACGATAGGTGCGAGGTATTTTTATCAGATCGGAGCAAGAGAAAGGAACGTGGACATTTGCGTACGATAAAAACTCCACCACGAGCAACGATAGAAGGAGGGAGTTTGTCCGCGTAGTCAGCGACATTACTGATTTTCAAAAACATCAGAATAATAATATACCATCAGTTAAAGCTTGCTTTACAATAATTGAAAAGATCCCAAACCAGGAGGCAGAGGATGTTCCTTCCCATTATCTAGACGAAACGTCATAGATTGGCCATAAGAATAATTATAACAACTTGCCTGGAACTCGGATCGTTCTGCAGGACTAGATTAGTGAGACTAGAAATGAAGGCAAAGCAAAGGCTGACCTCTCGAAAGAGAAGTTCAAGTCGTCATGCACACAAACGGATTCACTTCGGATTTTCGCCTTGTCCGGAGAGCGATGTTTATCAGGGCTACTACCAGAGCGAAGACAATGGGTGTTATAATGATGAATGAGAGTTTGGTCACTGTCGCACAAATTGGTGTTGGGATAGATAGAGAGTCAGCAAGCCACTCACAGGTTGATGATACTCTTGCTTGACGGTTTTCTACCAGAGACTCGCAGGTGGAACTCCTCTTTATCCAAGACCGCAAACGCGCCACTCGTCGGTGGTTTGATCCCTTGATCAGATAGGAACAGTCAGCTACAAATCGTTGAATGTAAACCGAGCCCCAACCTTTGGCGACTAGAGACTTGGCAATCGTGTCATATTCTAGTGGCGAGGAGAAATTTCCAAGGTCTACAGATCCTTGTGGCCCTTGAACAACAACATTTATTTTTCCGATCAGCATTGAAGACAAGAAAAAACGGAGAAGAAGCTGTGTTCAGTAGACGCCCATGCACGGAAATATCAAAGTGCACTGTCTTGTACTTCCTACTGTACTACTGTACTTATACGGATAAGTAAACACCTTCACAGTCGTATACCTGCAGCTGGCGCTCAAGCGCTCACGCTCACGTTCTGACTTTAAAAGCCATGGTTGAACGGATCGATCACGCTTCTATTCGGCACCATCGGACCACTACAAACATCGATTATTATTTCTAGGTTCGATGGGCTTCACAGCTGCGGGCATCGTTAACAAGTTCAACGTTCAACGTAACAAAGTTCGCGACTAGGTTCAAACTCCAATCCACAGAAATCCTAGCAGTTCAAAAAGATCGCAGTATCATTACAGAACGGTCCAAGAAATTAGTTTTTTTCCCGGAGCACCTACGGAAATCTTTTATATCTTTGCTGGCCTTAGCCTTCAAACTGACCAACTGACCTGGCCAATCCCTCAGGGCTTTTCTCTCCATACCGATGCCTCCTAGCCACCAGCTACTTCATCCTTACATCGAAATCATTGCAAAAGTCAACAAGCCGAATTTACTTTCCCTACGGAACCTCGGCTATAGGATATTCTTCGTTTCTCGTGGAGATCTATCGTCAGGAACCGTTCATCGGACGCAGAGCGATCAATTGGATGTGCATTGCGTGTCGATAAAACTGGCTGTTGAATGTTTCCCGTCGGATCTTTTGGGATTGGTGAAGGTTTGCGACGTGAAGAGGCAGGGAAAAGAGAATCAGTACGGGGTTGGGAAACTTGTGAGTTCGTTATAATCAGTTTGCTATTTGAGTTATTGACTCTAGTTGCAGACCAAGTCGCGTCCTCAATCCTCTTGAAAGGAAATCAAAGTCACGATTACTCTTCCAAAACCAAGAACCGGCGCGGTCAAGATCAAAAACTTCGAAACAGACATGCCATGACCATGTTCGCGCACCAGCTCGATAATCTAGCACCGACGGTACACTTCTGTACCATCTCACTGCGAAGCTCAAATGTTCGAATATTGGTCAACGACGTGTGCTCAAATCCTTCATCTCTACATGATATCTCCTCTCGGGACTAGTCCTAAACTTCTTCGTTCCAGTCATTTGGTGTCCAGAAAATAAACATCGAGACAAGCAATACACCCATCCAATGAACGCCGCCAACTCCTAACAACTGCCAATTCAAGGGTCCGCATATCTGGCCTCGAAAGCTTCTCTAACTTGCAAATGTAATCTACCAACGGGTACGTACACGTACGCACAGCATTTATCAACTACTCTTTGTCTTCGCAGTCCCATCGTAACATCTGCAATCCTGTCCTCTTGACCTTACCATCCCTCAGCCGTGGCCGTAAGCCCCAACCTCGTCCCCTCCCTTCGAACACGGAGGTAACTTTTCCAGCGCCGCCTCAGCCGACAACACACTATTACCCCCCACCTCAAAACCTTCACCTCAAAACCTTTTCCTCGCGTTCGCCATTGGATATTGCGTTGCCTAAGACATACGAAGGAGCATTCGAGGTGGAGACGAGCATGAGGAGTGCTTTTGTGGCATTGAAGGTGATACTGGGATTGGGATTGGGATTGGACTCGGAAGGATTTGCAGGTTACTTGGTTTGGGTCGGTTGGGTCAGTCGGAGTGGCTTTCGAGGTGGATGGAGAAGTTGAGAAGAAAGGATGGGTTTGGTCGATGGATAGATGGGAAATGTTAAAGTGGTGACTTCTAAGTATGGCGCTTAGGTTGTAGCAGGGTTGTAGGAGGTGGTAGGAGCCAGGAGTCGGGTAAGTTAAATTTTTGAATTTGAGGCTGGTGGTTATCCGCCGATTATTAAATTCCCTAAACGACTACTGAAAACCGACTTCATGCACTGCTACTTCCTACTCTCCCAAGAGGAGGCCTCGGATGACCACGAGCACATCAACATCTAGAGCACATGCAGCGGGGCAGCGCCTTGCAGTGTGCGGCGGCCTTGACTGCATCGCATCACAAAACAATCACAGAGGGTCGCCCAAAATCACTCAGATCTACTTAGATATGCCCGAATCTAGCAAAACGGTTTTCTGGAAGTGTCCGAAAACAGCCGAAAACCGAGTAAACCGAGTGGGAGAGGTGGGGAGAGGTGGGGAGTGGGTTTTTTTTTTGATATGTCTGAACTACTACATACCACAAGAGACCACCTGAGACCACAAGGCCTTGAAGGATATTTTCAATTCAACCCCGATCAACCCTTGGGTTTCCAGTCCTAGCCCTGCAGCTGCACAGCATACGTGACCAATTGTACCTTGGGCCTTATAAAAAGCAACTTGTGTACGGAAAATTTCCGGTCTCCACCTTCCCAGACCTTCCCCCACTCGAATACACAGCTTGCTGGTCAATCTGTGAAATCACTTGATACAATCATCAAAAATGCGCTTTGCCCCGCATCTTTTGTTGTTCGTGCTCATAGCTAGTTCGATACTTGCTGTGTGCCCTCGCCCAATGGATGCAAGGCCAATGCGGCCATCAAGTTCATCAACACAACTGCAGGCTGTAAGTGATAAGTACCTAATATAAGACTGACGTCTTGCCAGCCTAGTATTACTCAAGTCTTCGTGACCTGGCTTGATGGAAAAACGGGTCTACCCAAGGGTCTACCTGTCATAACTGCTACCACTGCTCAAGAAGCAGCGACGATGAAAACGTTGTTCACGAAAAGACTCAGTGACCTATTTGGCTTGCCTTTGGCTGGCAAGGTATTCTACATGAATAAATACGTTAAACAAGAGAGGGACAAGCAGGGATGGGGTTATTTCATCATCACCGGAGTGCCGGAGTGCACTATTTTGTTACCATGTTTTGGGTGGATAGCAAGAGGGGGTGAGTGCTTGCTCCCGAATCTGGTTTATAATGTGTTCCTCATATGTGCTTTGCTAGATTGGCAACCCGTTCCAAGCTCTCCGGGCCTATTGCATATAGCCATTATCAAAGGCCCCCAGATCGTCAACGAATCATCGGAAAACCTTATTCAAAGCAAGGCGAGACGCGCGAGGTCATCCTAGCGAAGCAAATTGATTGGGAGACCCTTTGGACCAAGTTTAGATTGTATTGGATGACTTCCTATAGCAATTAAACTCCAATAAACTCCAAATAATTTTCGTGATGAGATAGATGGATAGATAGATTTGTACTCGACTCCGCCATCGGGCGGGGTCTCACAAGGGAACAGCCACGCTGCGGCGAGCTCGATCCGCGAAGGGGAAGGTCGACTGCAACGTTGAACGCGCTCAGGCTGTGGGAGAAAAAGAGCAATAAGTACATGTTTGTGCATAAGCTAATCTACTCTCCTCTGTATCCACCTTCTGAGCTGTTCTCCATGAACCCCCGCCAACATCATGTCACTGCTTGGTCACTACCTCATGAATAAACTTGGCCATTGGGACGACCCTCGTCCAATGGAAAATGAACTGCTGCAGATAAAAGTATACCTCGGAATCCGAGAATGTCCTATCCCATGGCAGAGCCACATGGCCATGGGAGCGATTGTGTCGAGGAAGTCTCTGCGGAGGGCGGGGATCTGGTGAGGGCCAAGCACCGCAGGAGCACATACATGATGCTATGGCATTTCGTGGTGTATGACGGGTGTTTGTGTTGTCCAATGGGTGCTCAGACAGTCGCGCGGTAGGTGGCGCAAATAAAGGCGTACTAACGGACAAAAGTGCTACGCGTAAAGTTCACATTCGGATTTGACAAGCGTTGTACCAGCCGGTCTAATAGTGTAGAGATTATCACATAGATTCGCAGAATATGAGTGTGGACGTACTAAGTACTCCCCGTACCCCAGGTTCAAGTTCTGGTTAGACCGAGTCCATCCCTGAGATCCGAGTCCATCCTGCAGATCTGCTCCTTTTTTTTGCCGAGTAATCAGGACTTCTGTGGGCAAGAGGAGGCAAGAGGTGCGGGATCTCTGGACCTTGTCTGTGGGCTAGGCCAGAATTCTGGTGTATCCTCCTTAAGGCCGGAGGCTCCGAGTCTACGACCGACCACAACTTACCAATATACATGTTAAAACGGCAGGAAGCGGCAGCATTCAGCTCTGCCGAGCATTGCCGACGTTCGTTCGCTTCTACCATCACCTTGCGCTCTCCTTTGCTCTCCCCAACGCGTTGGTACTGATAGCGCGCCAATGGTCGGACAAAATAGCAATCAGAAACTTCAAGCACCTGCCAACCGACTTCCGTATATGTTCTCAATAGATTTCAAACCAGGTAAGTCTGTGACATTAGCTGCGCCATGCATGTGTACTGAACCTTGTCCGGGCTACCTGTTACAGTCTTTTAATTTCTGGATCCGGCGGTCAACTATTGGACCATGCCGTGTAAACTCTTCCTTCCTTCTCCACCGAATTCATTCAAAAATTTCCCGCCTTATCTTGCACCTATTCATTGGACGAGTTGTACGAATATCCCGACGTCAACATATCCATGCGTGCTCCTGAAGTAGAGCTGATTGGGCAGCTCTGTGGATATACTAATGGAGTACTGGTCTGATGGTATGCGCATTGCCATAACATTTTCGTACAGAACTCTGAGATCGCTTCTATTGTATAGCTTTCTACCTTTTCACCGCGCGCTGTACCCGTGGCTTGGAAGAGCAATTGCATCGTTTGTAGATGTATCTAGTATTTGGTAAATTTTTACTTTTTCTCCTTGAACGGAGTCGAATTGGGGGAGCCTGGTTCAGCAGGGATCATAACATTTGAATGCCAAAATCACTCATAGCTTCTCTTGAATAGGGCTTCCTCACGAGGAATGTACGTCTGGTTTTCCTAAAGATGTCCTCGCGTTTGATGAACTGTTGATTAGGATGCTTGAGCACTACGGTCGGCCACCACCATCGCAAGAGTTGCTTACTTTCATGACCGCATCCTCGTCTTGTATCCTACGAAACGGGTAACGGCACAGGAGGCTTCCTAGGGCTTCAATGAGAGAAGTGAATAAGGTTGTATGATAATAGTCGGCATGAATTATACTGCTTTCAGCAAGGCGCTACAGATATCCACTCTTCGAAACCTTACATACCAAACGAAGAGTTCTTATACGTCTGGTCATTGTAAAGTATCAGACTCTCTACGGAGTATAGTCCGGCGATGCAAGGCAATTTGAATAACCTTTTCTACGAGCTTTATGCGTGCTCTGGTGAGGTCAGGGCTTTAACACACCATAAGATAGATAGATAGATGGAGTGTACCAAGGACTCGCTGATTGGAATACTTCCTAACGAGTATGATAATTGTAACAACCTAAGTTTGAATATGCATATATAGGTTATGACAAAAAATGTGGTCCAAATTGTCAGTATAGTCTGAACCATTCCACTAAGTGGATTTTCTGCCGGACAATGGCGATATGAAAACTTCATCAACCGAAACGTAGCCACCGTTCCCATCTGAGCACACCTCTTCAACTCGATAATTCTTTCATCGTCAAATCATCGACGCCATCGTCGTCTTTCTCACCCGGCTCAGGCATCGGAGCACCAATACGCTTCTTCCGTTCCACTTTGGCCTTGCAACCTTGTGTCACACAGACACTGCCTCTATCCAACTCACCCAACCGTCACAGTCTTCACATAACAAGTGGCCACATGGATCATACCTGGCTTAATTCATGAAGTCAACGCGAACGCGAATCGATAACCTTTGGTGGCGAAAAAAAAACCCCAAGGTCTACAGAACCTTGTGGTTTTTGAACGTCAACGTTTACCAATGTTGTCCTCTCGGTGCCTGCTTCATAGATCCCAGTAAACCTTTAAGCGCTTCTTTGTCTGAAACATTCATAAGGTCAAGGTTGAGTTGAAGACAGGAACTTGAAGTTCTTGTGAAGGAATTGAGAGTCAACGAGTCAACTTCTTACCAACTTGAACGAGCTCCCGCCTATAAGAATTCGAGGATATAAACCCAAATAAACCCAGATGTCCATGGTACAAAATAAGATTTCCGATATCTACATCTAAAACAGAGAAGCACAGACCCAGCCTGGCAACAACCCAATCAAAATCCAGAAGAAAAACCCCCAAACCCGAAAAGGAGATTATAGTTACAAGCTGTGTGGCAGTTATGGTCCGGTATGATGAGGTATACCTTTTGGTGGGAATCGTCACAGTTATAATATGTATGTAGGTAAGTCCGTATAAAAAAGTTTGAAACTTTTACAAGAACGTCGCAAGTTCCCCGACAAGATCCCGAACACGGGCGTCTCCTGCGATCGCTGGGGACAGGGAAGACAGAGTGTCGAGTACGGTTTGATTTTGCGCAGGTTCCAGGGGGATGCTGTTTGATTTCATGGCATGGAGCTAGTGGGAAAGGCGAAGATGGTGAAGTCGTCATCTCAACTACAGAAACACAAATCATATACATATGCACTCACAGTGTTACCCACAGCGAACAAAGCGCGGTAGACTGTTTCCGAATCTGCTGTCTCGTTCTTTAAGATCTGAAATGTATAACCATTCAACCCCATTGAATCTGCTTAGAATGGAAAAAAATTGTTGTTACCTTGAAAGCTTCTTCGAGAAACTGCTGCCGCGGGTAGTCATCAAACGGCGTACGAAGCTGTGTGCAGGACATGCTACACGAGACAAAAATGCTGTTAGGAAGAGAGGATAAGGTAATATGATGAAAACCAGCATACTTGAAAAGAACCGTAGCCAGACAGGTACGCTGAACCTTGGACAAGATCTCATACGGGAGCTGGCTTAGGGCGAACAGCGTCTAGACCAGATGTCCCCAGTCAAACTATCATCTAAAGCCAGGAGATCCAGGCCTGAACGCACCTCATTAACCCAGGTTCCATCAACACTGGTACCCTCCTGGAACATATTCGCCAACGTCTTCAATACCAATGTCAGATTAATCTCTCTGGACTTGACAAGTGGCGGAGCCCAGGACGAAGACCATTCCCCTGAAACGAGAAGGGCCTGGAGAAGACGGCTTTTCAGGGCAGAATCCTCCAAAAGGCCAGGGCAGAAAGCTACGACAAGTCGTGTGAGGTCGACGACTGCCATTGAAAAATGGAAATCAGCGAAATTTATCCGTGATATGTGAAATGACAATGTACCTGGATAGAGTGCAGTTGAAGGCCACCTTTCAAGGACCTGTATAATACTTTCTACGCTAGAAGCGGTAGGCGCTGGTAGATTCAAATTCTTGGAATTGGGATCAGTGGCCTGGGTAAGGTAAAGCGAACGTGTCTTCAAACGATGAAATTCTCTTGGGGATACAACGCAAGGGATGAAGTAGACTAGAGGAGAGGACAAGTTGGTTGTACTGCGCGCGTATACAAGCGGAGAAATCAACCTTACTATTTTCATCCCGTAGTCTTCCATCAATTTCGAACGTTTTGCGACTCATTAAGGGAACATTCGCAGGTTTATAGAGGTTTCCAAGCTGCCTGAATAAGGTGTGAGAAGGTCGATGCTGTAAGATCAATGGTTCTCACCATCGGAATTCGCTTCGAAGGTGCTGGAGGAGGAGGAGCCGGTGTAGTTTGAGAAGCTCCAGAATATCGGGAAGCGCCAGTTGAAAGGATCTGCGTAAGCTGAAGAGGGAGCAGAAGGAGGAGCAGCGGCAATTTTCCAGAGTATCTTGAAGCCCCAGTGTACGGGGTCGACGTAAGCTGAAGAGCCAGAAGGATGGGTCGGTACTGAATTGCCACTGCTTCGATACCTTGAGCCACCTAAATAGAGTTAGCCAAGGTTTTTAATTAGCACACGGTAGCACGTTCAATGGGAGGACCTGTACCTGTGAAAGGATCTACATAATCTTCGTTTGATCCTAAACTGACCCCAGAAGTGTTTTTATTGATAAACTCGACAACTTGATCAATGTAAGAGAGCGGAAGGTCGTTTGACTTCGAGGAACCTCTGAGCGGCGGCGTACGGATTTTCTGTAAGAATTATATCGTGAACGTTAGAGGAGATAAGCGAGATGACCGCCTACCTGTAACGTTGAACGGTAATTTCAAAGGAGGAACGCCATCCTGGATATCCACGTCGAAAACGTAGTCGTATTCTTTGCCCTGGTACAACTTTTTCGTGCCCTGACCGACGGCGCCGACGACATCACCAATTTTCTGCCAACTGTTGTTGGTTGCATCCCACTAGTCGCCCCGTTTCAGAAGGGCGTATAGTATGATCAATGAAAAGCGTACCTGATGGAGCTCTACTATATCGCCATTCTTCACCATCTTTTGTTCCCCTGGTTTCTTTCCTATGTAAAAGGCGTGAGAGAGGAAAGCGGGATGAGAAGATTGTATCCAAACTGACCTGGAGCGTTAAGAGCTTCTGGACCCGGGAGATCGTTCTTTTTTATATCACCAAGCTCTTGAGACGGGAGCGCTTGACTGGCAACCAGATCCTCATAAGCTTGCAACTCTTGGGGCGACGCCCATCGTTCTTCAGATTCGCTGAACACACGAATGATCCCGTCGCTACAGCCGCTCACGATGTCGCCATTCGGCATACTAGATACTGTCCAGACAGAGATGGCTGGGTGTACAAGGACCTGAGCGCACTCGCCATCTGGAAAACGATCAGAAGGAATCAGAAATGCACAGGCTTTATACCGCACCTTTCCAAACTCGCACTGCACGATCTTCCCCTCCAGATACTATACCGCCAGATGGTAGGACGGACAGGCTATACACGAAAGAAGTATGACCTGAGAGTGAATATATGAGATCGCCTCCGATTGTCCAGACACGGATTTCACTGGCGACGAGTGAGTGAAAGTTTTGGGTATAGGCGATAGATATGTAATACCTGTCATTGGAAGCAGACGCGAAACCGAGCTTCTGGAATCAATGC